CTAACATATTATGTCAAAACTACAGATCAAACCTATTTTTTATAGCTTGTTGCATATCAAAAATTCATATTCTCTCTCTCTCTCCCCCCCCCTCCCTCTCTCTCTCTCTCTCTCTCTCTCTATATATATATATATATATATATATATACACAAAATAAACCGAAATGTACCGTTTTATGGTTTCCGGCTCTACAAAAACATTAAAAGGCTCAGTAATTTTTGTCAAAATGCTTTTGTAACGATTTTGGTAAAATTAACAAATTAGCAATTTGGTTTTATAAAACGTGATAAAATTTGGTCAATGATATAAAACTTGGAAATTTTACCTTGATCATAGTATAAAAAACCACTTATTCGGTTTAACTTACTTTTCAATTTTGTTTTTCGCTCTACTTGGTTAGTAATAAGAACTATAATTTTTAAGACCAGAATTTCATATAGACAGGGATAATATGAAAGGAAAAGATAACAAATGAAAGGTTTAAATATCGTATATTTTTTGGTTTATTAACCAGAATTACGATTTTTTTTTGAAAAAAACGTTATTACCATACAGTATCGAAATTGTACTAGAAATTCTTTCTCTGCTCACATTTGACTAATTTTAACTACCACAAAAGTTTCTGTACAAACAATATTTTTTCAGACAATATTTATTCAGTGAAAATAAAATACAAGTTTTCAGTAATTGGTGTGACATTGACTAAAAAACTGAAAAACAATTATTTTGAATATTTTCTGCATCGCTATTTAATCATGCTATTCTAATGGATATTTTGGATTTCAGTACAGATATATACTGCTCTCCATCTACGACTTGTAAAACAATATTCCAAACATGAGCAAAAGGTCAGGACCAAGTGAAAATCATTACATAACTGCTTTGAGGTTAACATTATCATGTATAAATAAGCATTGTTAGCATTATCGTGTAAAAATAAGCATTGTTAGCATTATCATGTATAAATAAGCATTGTTAGCATTATCATGTATAAATAAGCAAGAGAAACATTGTTATATACGCTGGCTTTATCTTGATGAAATCTTTATCTTCACTTAGCTAATAATGATATAAAATGGGCTTGAAACTGACCTTGGTTTTCGTTTCTTGGCTAAAAATGTCACAATATTTTAACTTGGTGCAATTTTATAAAAATCTGCGCTTATTTATTATAACATATCTATGAACATATATCTTGTTATGAAAACTGAACGAAAACTCTAACTGTATTGTACTCATTAGCATTAAATTTAAAAAAATACATACATTGCATATCTAAACATATAAATATATTAAATTTTGAGGACACAACATAATCATGGACATAAAAGCTTCCGTTTCAACATTACTTGATGTTCAATAAGGAGAAACGACGAAACAGAATTTTATCTCGCACTCTATTTGAAGTAAAAAATATATATTTCTGCAATCCTAAGGATAATTAAGTATTATAGTAAAAAGAGAAAGCTCAGGATTAAGATTATTGTGAGCTGAATCACTCTAACAAAAATCAATTGAATTGCATGTGCAGTATACAAGAAAAAAAAACGCACCATCCTGAATAACTTTAATTAAACAGACTAACTGATCAGATCTTCAAGTTTGGGACTCCATCTTAATGGTTTGAGGACACAACATTATATTTTACTACTGTATACTACTATATTTTAATTAACTATATACTACTATATACTACTATATTTTAATTAATTAGTTCTTTTTATATTTTAAGTTGCGAAATGAAACACATGCTTTTCTTAATAAGCATACCCTTTTTTCGAAGGATTCGGATTTTTGACCCCCGAAATAAAAGGGGTAGCTGCAATCTTGGAATTATGGTCCTAATAGTTTGGTCAGTAAAGCAATCCAAACTTTGGACCCCCTAATGTTAATTTTACTGTTTGAGTATTTCACCATATTTCGAGAACGTTTTAAATAAATCAAAACATTTTTGCGCACAATTATAAGATTCGTTTAGCCAAAGATGCACCATGTAAAAAGGAAAAAAAATTCCAAAATATTTATTATTTTTATTATTTTATTTAATAACAGACGAAAAAAGTTTGAATAGTAAGATCTATAAATTTTTACATCACATTAAAGTATCGAATTTTACTGGAAAAAATACAAAATTTGAACAAAATCGATTAAATAGTAAAAATCTATTTCTTAGGTACTATTCAATTAATTTCGTTCACATTTCGTATTTCGCCAGGTAAAATTAGATACCTTAAATTGATGTAAAAAATTGTATACCTTACAATTCAAAATGTTTTCAACAATTATGAAATAAAATAATACAAAATAATTAATATTTGCTAAAATTTATTGTCTCATGAATTTATCATTAGATAAATGAATTTTATAATTGCGAGCAAAGATTTTTCAATTCTCTTATACAATTAATTTGATTAAGCGAAATACTAAAAAGTAAAATTAGCATTAAGAGGTCCAAACTTTGGGTCACTCTCCTGACCAAACTATTGGGACCATGCTTTCAAGATGGCGGCTACCCCAAATATTTTGGAAATCAAACATCCGTCGAAAAAAAGGTATGTTTAGTCACAGAAAAGACGTTTTTATGTCTAATTTCGAAACTTAAAATATCGTCGTATTATTAGCATATTTCTTAGCATATCTATTAGCATATTTATTAGCTTATTATTAGCATGTCTAACTTATTATTTAGCATATTTATGGTCCCCCCCTCAAACAATTAAAATTGAGTCCTTGAACGCAAGTATCCGATCATTAGATCAAAAGTTATTTACGCTGGTCCATTTTTTTTTATCACGCTTTACATTGTAAAACATTCCGGATCAAATTTTAAAAAAATGCTGAAACCCTAAAAGTCCATTTTTACCATAATTTGCTCAGTAATAATTAATTTACAGTGGTTCAGTGATTTTCTAGTAAATGCTGCTGTAAAAAAATACGGTATATTAGAATTTTTGCTCCATATAATTTTACCATTACGCCGATTACGGAAAATTGCTTATATTGCATAATATTCTTATATTGCATAATATATTGCAATATTCTTAATCTATAATCTTATATTGCTAATATTGCATAATTTCCTTAAATGTACAGAGATTAAGTGATTTTGCAGTAGATAATGTTGTAAAAGTAACGAAATATTTTTTTACATTGTATATAATTGTATATACTATGTATACATAATATATACTATTTATAAATTGTAAGTAAGTGCTTCCAGAGTGTGAAAACTGGCTGAATATCTCAAATTCATACTATTCTTATTAGAACTAAGTTATATATTGAAGTTATATGTTATATATAACTAAGTTATATAAGGCATATTCAGCTAATATCAGCGTATTAATTTATGACTATGCAAACGATTAAATTTCGAGTCAATCAAATGATATTATACAATTGATCAACTAAATGTTTGAAACTCCACATGAACTCGAAATTTGAGATATTGTCTGGTTAATTTACTATTCAATCAGACCCACGTTTAATTAGTTTGAGACCAGTTTATGAATTTTACATCAGGTGAGAATATGTATGTACTTACTATTAGCTGTTCATAAGTAAAAGAGTGTGTTCAAACAATGAACATTACAAGCTTTTAAATATTTAAAATAAAATATATTTAAAATGAAATATACAGCATATAAGAAGCATTTAAAATAAAATATATTTCAAAAACTAAATTCTTTAGCAGTGTAAACGTAATTTTCTCAGAAATTCACGTATTGGAACAGCGTAAGATTTCAAGACAAATGATTTATCTTGAACTTAGTGAAAAAGACCTAAAGTTAATGCATGTTTAGTTTAAAAAATATTAAATCGGTTTTCAACAATATTTTGTTTTGTTTATCTCTTTGCATACATTTTTATATAATGTCTTACTTTGAATTTAGAAAATTCAGCTCTTGAACATAAATCATCGAATTTAGAAGAAAAAATTAAAAAATTTGCTTTTTAAAATTAAATCAAAAATCAGAGGACTAACAAACGTGTTTAAATATGCACTATAACAATTGGAACAAAAATTTTTTTAAAAAAAAAAGGATTCAATATCTGCTGAGATCCAAAACATGCTCAACATCTAAATTTCCTTCAACACTTTTGTACGCGCTACAGAAACGTTTTCGTCAAAGTTGACTAACAATGTAACTGTTTGCCAAACTAAAACATGTTAAATCAAACTGCTTAGAGGGATAAAAATAAAACACTGTTTCACGTTACGATCCGTTGAACATTTTCAATTTTGTCGAGAACTGTAAACGTAATTATAAAATAAAAATAAAAAATGCGTTTTTGAGGAATTATCAAAATTCTATCATTAGTCGATACAGTACCATCCAAAAAATATTTTAAAGCCCTCAAACTTAGCAGTTATATAGTCTATACGTTCTGTTATAGGACTTAACAGCTACCTGGTTTGAAATCCCTGTCATGAAACTTTTTTTTTTTAAATTTTTGCATGCTATACTGCACGGAGAAAAATTTTCCAGTAAAGCTACAGTACTCTATGATAATGACATTTCTGAGAAAAAATATATAATTCTTGTTAATGAAATTTAAATATACGAGATTTACCATACATTTATTATTAATTTTATCAAAATCATTACCAAGGCATTTCGATAAAAATCCCGCAGTTTTTTGTGATCAAGACCCAGAAACGCGGTAAATTTTACCATATTCTGATAGCTTCGACCCTACTTTTTTTATATCAGTAAAGAAATTGTTTGCAAGATTGAGTGGAATATATGCTGGTATTAGAGCCAAATAGATTTATAAATTGAAGCTACATGAAATATATGAGTACAAATTTTTAAATATAAATGTTCCAACAAACTATTTTAGAACAGTATAGTTGAATTATAATGTAGTCAATTTAAACTTATTTTCGTGTGTGAAGAAAGCCGTCCACATGATATCTTTTAATTATCTTTTAAAATTTCTTTTATAAATGCCTTAGTTAAGTATTTTTATAAATAATACATATTTTTTTTAATAGTACGTGGTCCAGTATTTGAGTATGAACCACCACCACGAGTTGATTTTGATAACTCAACTGGAGCTGTGATTCGATGTTCTGCAAAAAGTCAACCAATGCCAGATGTTTGGTGGGAAACGAAAAATGGAACTACAGTACGGGATATACCAGGACTACAGCATGCACGCCCAGATGGATCTTTAGTGTTTTCTCCATTTTCTCCATTACAGTACAGACGAGAAGTACATGATGCAATTTATCGCTGTGTTGCTTCCAATACAGCTGGGAAACTTGGAAGCCGAGAAGTTCGAGTTCGAGCAGGTAGGGTTTATCAAAATAGATTTATTTTTTAAAGAATATATAATGTATTTCTGGTGATTAAATGTGTATAAGCTGTGCAAGTGAAACTTATGAACAAGCTTTACTCAAGACTTAAGCTTCTTTCTGCATACATTCAAATTGAATAGACTAATGGCTAACTAACTGGTTTAGAAAACATATTCCTAAATATTAGGAGATTCATTAGTTAAACATGACAGAAGGTAACAGTAAGTCAGAATTAATATGAATATGCTACACATTTCAATTGATTCGGTAGCGAAAATATTGCTTTTCCAGGACTAGTCATTGAGGAAATTTGTGAAGAGGAATTTGGAATTTTTTTACCCACAAACTACACTGTAAAAAATTGATGAGAAAATTATGGTCTAATGAACTGATACCCAGAGTGCCTATTTACTGTAAGACTTTTTACAGTAATTTTTACAGCAATGTTTATTTATTTACTTATTTACTTACTTCTTGATTTCATAATAATAATAAAATAATAATTTTATACTTTATCAAAAATTAAATAAACAAATAACCGCGATCTGACGTCTTTATACATGTTGCTTAATCGATACCATACAAGGTACTTTCATTTTAGATGCAATGCAAGTAAATTGCTTCCAAATGAGAAAAAACTTATAAATAACAATTTATAAATAAATAAATAACCAACGATAAATTAAATTTTGATTATAAAATTAAAATCCTTAATAAGAAATAAGTATGCACTGGTGTGAAAGATTCTGGATCCCCCTAGAAGGCGGTACTTTTTTCCGTAAAATTAATTTTTAACAGGGCATGCTGCGGAGCAAAAAAAAATCTGATATACCGTAATTTTCACAATAATAATTACAGTAAAATCACTAAATTAATTGGATGAAATAAATATTTTAGTGAAAATTACGATTTAATAATTTACGTTCAGAATGAATTTCGTGGTAAAAGGGATTTTCCGGATGATGTCCCCAAAGTGTTGGTACTTTATACCGGACTCTTTTACTGTGCAGTATAAATTTAAGATTTTTTAAAATGCTAATAGCAAAAAGTGCCGGTAACTTATATAAACAGAGGCATTTAAAAAAATGCAAATAAATGAGTGAATAAATAAATGAATAAAAAATTTTAAAGCATAATATTTTTAATTCTATTGCGAATTATAAACTTAAATTTCTTAACCATATTTAAGTTTAAAAAAAATAACAGCTAAGGCAAAATTACTGAGTGTCTTTATGCATTTATTAATATTAAAATATTGGAAAAATTTTAATGAATGCATACAGATTTTTACGAAAAAAAATGTTAAAATATACCCCTAAACTACAATAAAAATGAACCAATGCTGCTAACAGTACGTATACGATTATGAAAAATTAATTAGACAAGCAATAATTTCCTTTCGTTATGGTATTCTTAATTTTTTTTCATGATAGTGAGAAGAGATTCTTTGTTAAGAATCTTATTTCAGCATTTATTTTACCTCACCGCAATCTAACTATATAATAAAACTCATTTCGGTTTTGACTTCAACTTGGAATTTCCTGATTTTGAACCACTAAAACTATTTTCTAGAAGAATAAAAAGATTTTTATATGAATAAAATCAACAACAGAACATTTTCTTGTTTATTTATTTATTTTTAAAGTTGTCAAGAAAAATTCTTAATCCTTAGAGGTAAACTTACATTTATTGGAAAAATATTGCTTAAATCATGAGTTTAAGCGATGTTTCAAAATCTAGGCTATGCTGGCTCATTTTGGTCACACGTAGACCAATATCTAAACACAAATTCAAGATTATGTTTTTATTACAGGATATAGTTTGTGTCTAAAACAAACTACACTGTAAGAAATTATGGGACATCCAATTGTTTGGAAGCATCCATTTAACCGTAAAATACATTTGTACGATTAGAATTATACAGTGATTTTACTGTAATTATTAGTGAAAAAACTAAGGTACATTAGATTTTTGTTCCGGTAAAAATGGATGTCACGATAAAATGAACTGGAACTCCAGTGCCGGTTCCTTTTACCGCCATTTGATGCATAAATTTTCATAATTTTAGTTGTAAAATTATAAATTATTAATGCTCCTTATAATGACAGAAAAACTTATATAGCGATGCGAAAATATTTATGTGTGTAAAATTCGCTATTTAACACGTAAAGCTTTCTTACATATTTTTGTTTCATACAACAAGGACAAGGGTACAAGGGACGTTTAAAATTTTTTTTTTCAATTTTTGAGCTACAATTTAAAAATTTACAGAATTTAGTACTTGCATGTTAAGCAGACTAAGCATGAAGTTTGGTGATGATTGTTCAATTAGTTTAAAATTAAATTAAATTTTAATTTTTTTAAAATACCCAAAAAAGGAAATATTTGAAATGCTCCATTTGTTCGGAAAAGCAAAGTAGGAAGTTAATTTTTTGTTACAAGATTTTTATTTAATTTCTAAACTAAAGTTGCGATAATTCATAACTTTCAAACAAATTTAATTTTAAAACAATTATGAAATATTAAAAAACACATAATTTTAACTAAAACAGTTACATAAGAATTTTCATTTGTGACTAAGTAATTTTTTTTACTCTAGTTAAACCTATAATGCATCGCAACTTTCATTTAGACATGTATAACAAGCAATTTGATGAAATATAATTAAAAACAGACAAAAATTAAAATGTATGGAGCATTTCGAAAACACAAAATTTACCAGAATATTGATTTTGAGAAAAAGCCAGTTTTAAAATTTGCACACAATAATACACTATGTTTTGCTTGAATGATAAATTTTTAATGAGTTAAATATGTGTAAAATACTTATGATTAGCCTCATCAGAAATTATATAGTATTTAATAATATTCAAATGAAAAATAATCCAAAATAACAATGTTATTACAATACTTGAACGAGAAAACGAGAAAGATGTGATAACACATTTTTAAACATATTTCAAATATATTACTTTTAACACTAATTTAATATTCAAAATTCGCCTGCAGAATATGTCAACCCTTCTTTTCTAACTGATTTCTTTTCTAATGATATTTTTTTATATTTTCTTGAACTTTTCTCTTCCTTGAATTTTTGAGAGGATTTTCGTTTTTTCTGACTTGCACGCCTGCAATCTTTCCTTTCAGCAACTGTTACAGAACTCTGATAAATATGTTGATTTTTTAATTTTTATGTCTCAACAAAACCTAAATTGTACTCTGCAACTGCAGCAATAACGCCAAACTCTAATCTTTTTTTGGATAGAAACACTTCTTTTGCAAACTTTTACCACAATGCAACTGCAAAGGGGCGTGGTCATACTAAAAAAGCTTATATCTCGGTGAAAAATGATCAGATTTTAATAATTTTTTTTTAATTTAAAGCTTATGATTCCTACTTCAAATATAAAGTAAAATCTCAAAATTGAAAATTTAGTCATTTTATTCGTCATATTTTTAGTCATTTAACATTGTTACAAATAGAAAAATCTTTCATGTATTATAACGTCAATTTTATATCTTGAATCAACTTTTATTTTTCTACTTGAATTTCTAATTTATTTATCTAATTAATTTTTAAAATAAAATTAAATGTATAAAAAAAGCATTTATCTAAAACATTAAATTTAAATCATGTCTTTTATTACTAAGTTTCGCCAGACTTAATTCATCCTTTTGTTTTTAAATACTTTTTAATAAGTTACTAATTATCGAAGTATCGACTATAAGTTACTAATTATTAATAATTTATCGAAGCATTCGAAATATTTTTAATTCTTTAATTTTTCTAACTTAATTTTTTCTATTTACTTATTTTTTTTTAGAAATTGTAATGAATTAAGCTATATTACGTAGCAGTTCGTTTTTTTTTTGTAAAAACACATTTATATAACTACCGCACATGAAGTAACAAAATTAAAGTACTGGTAACAGGTTAGTAATAACCTTGCACAAAATATTTAAAAAAAAAACCACGACGGGTTAGTATTAACCTCAAATTCCAAAAATATAAACTATCTCCTCAGAAATTAACATCTCTCTGATGTTCCAAAAAAATCTCGTGTTTTTATTTTTAATTTATATCGTAATATGTTTCGTTTCTTTTATTCATGCTTTTGTAAGTCAGATACTTTTTCTAATATTTTTAGACTTTATAAAATGATTAAAAAGTATGTATATCTTTGCAGTGCAATTATATTTTTTAATTTTTGACAAAATTAAAGATAAAATTAGCTATATTTTTAATGCGAAACGTTCTTAAACGAATCCCTTTTTATCGTTCAATATTTAGCATAGAATACATGATACGCGTGTCGGCATTTCAAAATATTAAACCAAAAATTGCTCTTCTTCTTTAGTGTAGTATAATCTATCTTTAATAATCATTTAATTTATAATTTCTTCGTGTTATTCATTAAAAACAAAATTTACTACATTTAATTTTTAGCTTCTTAAGAAAAACTAAAGAACACGTGTACCAGAAATTTATTTAACACTAAAGGGTCTTAAACGAATTTTTATTATTTTTCAAAATTGCCTCTGAAAACGTAAAACAGATGAAACGTAAGACAGATGAAAGCATTTAAAAACATGAAACTAAAACGGTGTTTTGCAGTTTTAAGCGTAAATAACCACATTTATATAGTCATTGTCTTTTCAATTATTCTTTTTTTCTTTCAGGCTTTTTTATTTTAATAGATTAAAATTCAAATCTGCCTTTTTTTTATATTTTCGCTAAATTTTAAATTTTTTTCACAATTAAACGCAAAGCCCTTCACAATTAAACATAAGGCAAATTTAAAATTCCCTTTATACTTATTTTTTTAAATGTAATTTATTTATTTTATTTATTTATCTTTTTTCGTTTTAATTTTTTTTCACTTATTGATTCGGAAACCAGTAAAACAAAAAGCAATGAATTTTTAAAGAAAAAAAAAGAAAAAAATCCCCTATATAAGACATATATTTAACACTAAAAGTTCTTTGACAAATTCTGATTATTTTTTTAAATTACCAATTGGTATGAAACGTAAAGTACACGTAAACATTTCAAAAAATTAAATTAAAAAGTTGCTTTGCCCTTATAACTGTTAAATAACACCATTTAAATCACTTTTTTATTTTCAAATACTTTTTTTTTCTAAAAGGCTTTGTTTGAAAAGAGATTATTTGTAAAAGTTTTTAAATGCAAATTTAATCTTTAAATTATTTAATAATTTTTTGTTTTATTTATATTTTTCAATTTATTGATTTTTGAAATCATTAAAAACAAAAAAAAAATTAATTAAAAAAATCACGTTTATCAGGTATGTAATTAGCACTAAATCTTCTTTAACGGATTTTTAATTTCTTATACAATTGTTATTCAATATGAAAATATATGTGAGCATTTT